CGCGGGGAGCGCGGCGTCGGCGCCTGCAGCCCCGGCTCCCGGCTCGGTCCTTCGGGAGGCGCCCCACCTGCCCGCCGCCCTCGGCGCTCCCGGTCGGACACCGCCGCTAGGCGCTCGGCTCCAAGCGGGAGCTTTTTGTGTCACCGCCCAGACTAAGGCACCGAAGCGGGGTGGGGGCGGGAGGCCGGGCTCCGCTCCCCGCGGCACCGCCCCTCCCCGGCGGCTCCACCTCCTCCAACCCCCCCGCCCCCCCAACGGCGGCTCGTCCTGGACGTCCGTCTGTTGGTCCGGAATCGCACACCCAGCCCCCGAGTGAGGAGCTGCCCACCCTGGCCCGCGCGCTCCCTAGGCCGTGCCCCAAGTGTCCAACCTGGGCCGGGACCTCGATACTGTCTCTGCACCGCGCGCTGCTCGGGGCGGGAGTGGGGACCTGAGCGGCGATCAGGTGTGAGACCGGGCCGCATTCAGCCGGCAGGAGGGCAGGGCTGGGGTGGGGGCCGAGGCTGGTGGGGACCAGCGTGCGGCTCGCGACCGGGGGACCGAGCCAGGGAGTTGATGTCGCGTTTCCAGAAACTGCCCTGGCATCCGCGTCGCCGCAGATACTTTTTGGCTGCCCCTGAAAGTTCACGTAATCCAAGCAGGGAGCGGTTCTGCTTTTGTGAAGGGGAGGACGCTTCCAAAGAAGCCCGAATGGATACCCCCCACCTGGCTCCATGGGAGGGGGTGCGGGGGGGGGAGGGTAGAGAAGAGGGAGATGCAAATCCTGAGGATTCTGTGGCAGGTGCGCACCACCGCGGCCCACCTTATTCTCCACCTTGAAACCTAACTTCTACCTTAGGGAACATGCTTAGAATGACTAGTTACTCCAAGAAAATGTAAAGACATGGTCTCTTGCCTCTTGTGTTGACTGCAAAACTGGGGAATGGAGGAGAGGAGGTGGCTGGTAGAGGATGGTATCCATGCTCCTTGGTGCCTTTTTAAAGGATTTCTATGCAGAATGAAGATCCAAAACTCTATATTCTATGACTCTGGTAAGGATAAGCCTACCCACTTGCCCGGAACTCCAGTCAAACAACAGAGAGCATGCAGCCTCCTGGCTGCTGGAGTGAAACTGTTTTATGTTCTGCTGTCTTGTCCACAAAGAAAGAACTCCCATTCTAACCTCTCCCAATAGCTCATTG